GAGATATGTACACAACACTACATGCGAGTACACCACACATTTCTCACACTTCGATATACAGGCTTCACGACGATGGATAAAAGATCGCTGTCCAGCGAACTGATACGCGCACGGCGAGAAGAGCTCACGGACACAAAGCGCAAGCTGGAGGAGATCGGGGAGATACTGGAGCAAATACTGAGAGTACAGATGGAGTTAATGGCTCGAATTGAAGAGAACGAGAAGGGCCTATACGCTTTGGATTATGACTTGGACGGTGTGGGCATCGGTCAAGACGGAGTTATGTCTTTTGGAGTGCTGCTAGAGATGGCAATTAATCGGTTAAGAAATTAGTCAACGATATGTAGCTGTATTAATTGTGAATACAAATTCACATGGCTATTACAGCTCATCCTGAAGTCTCTGATGAATTTTTGCTGCCGTGTCCGCATCTGCCTTCGACATTCGTCGCTTGCGGGATTGTACAAGCAGTAACCACAGCATCCTCAAGCGCATTACGTCGACATCTGACTTGCTGATCTTGTAGCAATGCAGGTCTGCATTCCCTGCAATAACGCTGTGTGCATGTGCAATTACCAAGGCACCACAGCTGGAGTTATCAGGTTGTTGCGGGGCGTCCACCCACGAAACTGGGTGGATCTTCATAACACAGCCAGGATTGGAGGACTCGTTCCAGCGCTCAATAAATCCTCGCAGCCCTTCCTTGTTGTTACGCTTACTTCCCTCCCAAACTGTCTCCATTTCACCGTGATAGCAATTATTAATGAGAGGTTCATACATGTGAGGTCGTGCGTGGATCTGGCCGTCTGAAACCCCAAGGTTAACAATTATAGTGCCCCAATGGCTAGCGCTCAAATTGACGGGATGTACGACAAACTTTATGTCGCGAAGCTGAACCCGCGGTGTCGCCGGCCAGCCAATCTGCCATAGAAGCGATGACAACACGCGACAGCCCTCCGTGGATGCAGCAATTTCACTCAAGCAGAAGTCGATCGAGCTGTCCGAGAGCCACCCTCGACAAACTCTTCCAACCACGTCTTCGAAGCAAATGGTGACCTTGCCACACTTGGTGGCGTACTCGCTGCGAAGACGGCGGTCTGAAAACTTTGAAATTACTTCATTGGCGAGGACTTGATGTCGATTTCGAACGGCCTCTCGTGTAACACCCCAAGTTTTTGTTTCCTTTGCGAAAAGGTCAACATCCGAGTCCACCTTAATCCAATTTCTCTCCAGCCACTTTCGATCTTCGACCCAAGACTTGGCCTTGGCCTTCACTCTGTAGAAAACACTTGCTGCATTTACATATCGACTGTAATCGAAGTAGCAACCACATTAGTAAAGCAACCCTGTATCGCAACCATAAAGATAAAACAACTCTGTATAGCAACCATAACGATAAAGCAACCGTACCTGCAGAACTTCCAGAGCTTTGGGTCAATTGTTGCAACAATGTCGAGAACAACACCTTTCTGTGACACAGTTGAGTCGACTTTGTCGGGTTCGCGCTGCTCCTTCCGTGCAGTACATATTGCAGCCTCCATTGACCGTGTAAGATCCACGGGAATTACAAAATGGTGCATGTTGTCCTCAGACCTCATAGCTTCCCAATGGCACTCAATCACTCGCGATCGTAGATAGGCATCCGTCAGTTGCACTGGGTATTTTTGCATGATAGCCAGGATGTTCTTCATGTTTGGTGTATTGCGGGCCCACGTCACAAATTCGTGCAGCTTCACTGTCAGCCCGCTGGGATAATTGTGTACAGCTAGTCGCGATACACCTGGAGAAATCTTTGATTGGCGTAGCTGTGTCGGCGTGGTACGCGACAGATGTCGGCGCATCGGTTTTGGAACATTGATAACGTCTACTTGACGAGTTGTCTCTCATTCGTCTCGAACATCACCCGTCTCGTTCTTTTTGGAGCCAGAAGTCGGCTCACCAAAGCTAGCGGCACGAGGTGGAGTTGATGACTTCACCTTCTTCACCTTTTGCTCTTTTGCGAGTTGTGTTGGAGGGACGTCATCACCACTGTTGATACTATCCATGGCGCCATCCTGGCTGTCCATTTGCAGATCTTCCATCAGTTTGACAGTTGCCATTGCGTCTGCTGGATCTAGAATAGAACTCAAATCATCATCGAGATCTTCAACTTCTTCAACTTCTCCATTTTCGTGATCGGCAAACACAGCACTTTCTTTCGTACGTGATTTGCCAAGGCGCAGTCCTTCTTCTAATGTGTTTTTCCACGCCTGTAATTCGTCATAAAAGTTTGCGCTGCTCAAGTCGGCTAGATGTTCCAGCAGCGGCTCAACCATTGCCTTTGCAAGCGAATACCTCTCGCCTGAAGAAAGAACAACCTTGTTGGCACGCTCCCGTCGTCGCAGGCGAACATACACAACTTGTTTCGGTGACGTCTTCGGCGCTGACGAGGTAGGAAGGTCAACACAAGGTTCATCGGGCAACCTTAAATTTGGCAACCTTAACTTCGACATCTGCACGATTGAACTCAGAGTATCAGCAGCGGCCGTAAATGCTTCGGTAGATTTCAACGCTGTCATTGTACTCCACCGTTCGCAAATTGTTATAACAAGAAGCATCTCGAATCCATGTCCTATGTGCGCTACGTGCATGAGATGCCGACACGGCAAGTGGTTGGTAGTTGAAAACAGACAGGTGCACTTCCAGTCCACGTCATCGCACTCAAATCCTTGGTTGTGACAGTATACGTTCCATTTCGAAACCGATAATGTCTGTACACATGTTGTTTCCTTCATCAGATTCACAAATTGCTCCCATTCCCGCCTAATTGTCTCCAAAACATACGCTGATATTCTGCCCCCAACTGCTCTTAAAAACGTCGGCACCGACTTAGGCCTCCGTGTACTCGAGTGCAGCTGCCCGATCTCCGAGACAATCTGCTGCGTGATAGTCATCTGGTGCTGCAGCAATCCAGCGATGGTCTGGTCGATTCCTGTTTTAACGCCCGGAGCAGGCATCTTGAGCTGGTTCCAATTAGATTCGATCCTGTTTGGTAGCTGTGTTGCCAGCCAGTAAAATGTTTACCACGCTGCAAAGTTGGACCACATGTCATTGCATGTGTAACCAGTTCTTGTCAAAATACGCAAAGAAAGCGAGTTTTTTGTTACTTTGGCAGTACGATTGAAGGTTCTTGTAGTAAGTGTCGTATGCATCCTGCGTTGAGCTAAGATAACAATTAGTTCAGAAAGTAAGATAAGATATGTGTATCGAAAGAACCGTGGCGACATACCTGAAAAGCAGTTTCACCATCAAGGCAAGTAGCTCTTCACTCTGCGCAGTCTTAATTCCGTAGACAGACCTCTTCATAATCTTCTTCCAGTAGGAGATTGCGTGGAAACTGGCAAAGGAGAATTTTCGCGTTTGGGGAAGGACTCTTCAAGTACCTTCCATTCAGTGAAGTATTTATCAATGACCACGCTCACGACTTGATCCCAACACGAATTCTTCTCCTTGAAGTACTCCAAAATCGTGGAGATCGTCTTTGCTTGCTCATTGAGGCAAATGTTATCAACCACAGGGAAGCCACGACCCGTGCATGTGGTGACAACCAAACTCCCTACCAGCAAGGAAATACATGATGATCAGCAAGGTTGCGATAGCGGATAAGGTTGCCACAACGGCTACTGTATCAATTAAGGTTGCTACAGGGGGTTGCTATATCAGGTAAGGTTGCTGTGTCAAACGTACCCAGATGATAGCCCAGGTTATTCGTTCCATGCGTAAAGTCCATTGCCAACGTTTCCCCCCACCGCTCAAACATCATCTTTTGAATTTTTGTCTGCATAACAACTCCGCACGTGACGTCAAACTGGTCTTGAATGACGAGCACATCGCTGCCATCAAGCTGCCGAAGAGCGTGAAGCATATTCTTGAGACGGTCTTCACCGGAATCCTTCTTCATGATGCTACGGATAAGATTACGCGTCTGCTGTGGCGTCACTTTACAGTCTAAGAAGAAGTTGACATAATGTAAGCAAAAAATTAAAGAAGTTACATCACGTAAATAGCTACATCACGTACCAAGGCGATCATTTAAAAAGCGGGTGATGTGGGAGGACGACACACGGGCGTCAGCCAAGGTCTTAACATCCTCGCGATCGCGGTCATCGAGCGGTAGAGTCTTGGTCGTGAGGTAGGAAGAGACCTCCGTGCCGGTAGTTAGGTGTGAGTGCGTGTGGTTCTACAAAGTCAAACAAAAGTTAGAGAGTCAAACAGATAATGAGCACGCTTTCGTCACATACCTCGTTCCGAACAACAATCTTATAGGTATCGTCCACACAGCGAGAGACAACGGCCGTTAATCTTGCCTTGCAGCTACAGTAACGTGTCGACCGGTTGCGGTGGCCTTTAGATCTAGAGGCCTGAGATACTCCGTGCGTGCAGCGGTAAATCCTCTGGAACCACTCGAACTCGGTAGGTATATGATCTTCATGTGTGCTACAGATACAATAACCACCTTTTAGTCTGGATATACAGCCAAAGCTAACAGCAAAACTTACCTGTTGTAAAGATCCGTCTTTTCTGAGCTCCGCACCCGAAACTTGAGCTTGTACTTCTTCTTGTATGCATCGAAGATCTTCTCAAATTCCTCCCAAGAATTAATCATCTTGGCCGGCCCAAACGCTGGAGCTGTATTCAGGATCTTATTTTCACCTGAGTTCATTGATTGTAGCTCTGTGAGGTGCTTGCTCACGCGTTTTCTTGGCGAATATTCGCCACTTGATGCCACTGGTGTTTCCTGCCTTTTCCGCTTAACCAGAGAAGACTTTATTGGCATATGAGGTGAAGTGCGCTTCAGCAATGTTTTAGTAGCCTTCGAATCTAGCAACAAGCAAAACTGTGAGCTTATAAGATGATGAATAAAGCAACCCTTACGCATATAGCAACCATACCTGGTTTCACGTTGCCCTGTATCGTTTTGTTCTTATTACTCTGAGCGCTTGGCTTTCCTAGATGCATGTACACCCCACACAACAGCTCAGCAAAACATGTAGTAACGTAAAGTGCAGCAAACAACCCTACCGGCAGCTGTTGTGCTTCCCTCGTTTAATTTGCCAGAGGAAAGGTCCTCATCTTCTTCCTCATCCTAGGAAATGGCCTCCAACACGTAGTCTTCGTCGCTGGCGTCGTCATCCTCGATCCCGAGCGCATTATACGTGATTTTTTGTTGTCCGTTGACATTTTGCGTTCTTCGGGCTTCTGTTCGCACACAAACACATACAAGTGGTAAGAACTACAATTACAGCTCTAAAGCCCGACTCATGTAGTCTACCAGCCATCGTCCTATCCTTCGCACGCTGTCCCTCGTTCTCGCAACGCCAACTAGCGCGGCGCGAATCTACCGCGTGGCCGTCGCAGAACTGCCCAGTTTCAAATATGAGCGGCTCAGAGCAATCGTACTTAATAATATGATCGTACTTAACCGAGTATATTCGTACTTAGGTGCTGATACGGTATTTTAAATGGGTGTAAAATACTTTCTTATAATTGGATTTATCTTTCGCTAAGAGTTTTTTGAAATGCTGGTATAGCAACCATAACTGAGTTATAGCAACCATAAATGTCGCATATTATGGTTGCGGTAACGACTCCGAATCGTATGTAGAACGACTGAACATAGGCTTTCACGTCATAAAACGCGTTTGTGCTACAATCTCTGACACATTGCTTCCCTCGACATGAGCAGCGACGCATTCTACGTGTCCGTGGCAAAGAAGCTTGTTTAGCTACTACTGCCAACGCCTTGACAGCTATTTGTTGAAGGCAATCCTCGGGGGACACATTCGTCCACCAACGAAAAAACATATGTCTGACCTGTTCATCCTTCATCCCCGCAAAAGATTGGATGAACCGGATGTACAGTGCATCAGCTATTTTAATACTTGTAACGGGAGAGCCTATTAAAATATTAAAATAGGCTCTTCCGCTTTTGTAACTTCCGCAACGATGTTCCAGTCTTTGCTGTAGCAAACTGTTCGCAGTATGCATCTACGATACGTTATGCACTGGCAGGAGCCGGGTACTTAGTGAGTTGGGAAGCACAGTATCTCGATAGCTCGCATTATCGACCGGGGGTCACATGTAAAGTCTTTGATTCACTAAAGTTAAATAAAAGGTATTAATTAGATACCGGTAGACGTAGCCCTTTTAGCAAAGTGGGTTTTGCATTTCATAACACTTCTCATCACTAAAAACACCAAATCGTTTTATTAAGAGATGTGGTTACAGTCGCAACCACGAAGTACTTACCAACCGTTAAGATGAGAAACTAACGAGCTCACAAAGCTAAAGAGAAAATGCAGCATTCAACGAGCATCTTAATTTTTATGCTGATTTATCGCGGCTGAAGCCGTTTGCTGGAGCAAGCTCATGTGCGAAAAACTAGCGCTCTTCCGCTAATTTTGTGCGGCATGAGATCGTCGTTCACTGTATCTATCTCCCGACCTGCGTTCGTGAATATCTAAGCTAAAATATGCGTCAATGTTGGATAATAGCGGCTGCTGGAAAAACTTGCCGAAGGCAGGAAGATTTATTGAAATGAAATAGGGAGAAAAAGTGAACCGATAAGTAAAAAGTTACGTTCTAATTAATATACAATTCCGTTCCACGGACCGACGCCTGTGAATAAATGTACCTATTCTATTAAAATACAAGAGATGTAAGACTTTCATTTTCCTAAATCTTTACTGTTTGTGATATACTATGTGTTTGTAGTATTGTTAACCTAATTAAGGCTCGCGAATCGCGAAACTTTATATGATAATCAAAACGTGACATCTGCTGTCGTTTGTTGCACTTTCTCATGTGTTGAGCAAAAAAACTTTTTGTGCTCGTTAGATGTGGTTACTACCGAAACAGCTCGCAATCACGCATTGAGGTATTGCGCGGCGATGAGTGTGCCGTCGATCGATGGTCCCACACGAGACCATTATCCAATTTACCTCACGGGGGTCACAGTTGTAGCAGCTTAGCTCTTCACCTCCTATCATCACACCAAGCACCACAATTGACATGCTGCCCCAGACGCAGCCTAAGGTCCAGCCTGGACTCGATTCCGGTCACGCTATGATGGAACAGGGTGAAGCTGCTTTCTACGACTTCGTTGTGCAGCAGCTGGAGCCTGCAATTGGTCACGCACTCCCACAAATGGAAGTGCGATGCAAAAATCTCTCCGTCGTGGCTGACGTCTCCGCCGTCGAGCAAAAGTCACGCGCCACAACCTCGGAGTTACCCTCTGTGTACAACAGTCTCAAGCACATCGTACGTAAGCTCACGGCCAGCAGACACGTCACACAACGACACGTTCTCAAGCAAATTGATGCTGTGTTCGAACCGGGAACCATCACGTTGGTTCTCGGTCAGCCTGGCTCCGGCAAGACGTCGTTGATGAAAGTGTTGAGCGGGCAGTTCCCGATGGAGAAGAACATCACAGTGGACGGCGATATCTCGTACAACGGACAGACGTGGAAGGAGCTGCTTCCCAAACTCCCGCAGCTGGCCGCGTACGTTCCGCAGAGCGATAAGCATTTCCCGGCTCTAACGGTTCAGGAAACACTAGAGTTCGCTCACGCATGTTGTCCGGAGGAGGTGGCTTCAAGACCGGGAAAGGAGTTGCTGTCACATGGCACACCGGAGCAGAACGAAGCAGCTCTGAGTACTGCCGAAGCACTCTACAGAAACTACCCCGATGTCATTGTAGAACAACTCGGACTGCAGAATTGTCGGAGCACCGTGATCGGCAATGCGTTGAAGCGTGGTGTGTCTGGTGGCGAGCGTCGTCGTGTGACGACTGGCGAGATGGAGTTCGGTATGAAGTACGCCACGTTCATGGACGAAATTAGCACGGGTCTCGACAGTGCTGCCACGTACGACATCGTGTGCACGCAGCGCGATATCGCCAAGAAACTGCACAAGACGGTGGTGATAGCTTTACTGCAGCCTGCACCGGAAGTCTTCGAGCTGTTCGACAACATCTTGCTATTGAATGACGGTGAGGTGATGTACCATGGACCAAGGGAACAGGTGGTGCCATACTTTGAGAGTTTAGGTTTCACGTGTCCGCCTGACCGTGATGTGGCCGATTACTTGTTGGATCTGGGCACGGATCAGCAGTACCAATACGAGGTGGCAAAGGTGAAAAACCATACGTCGTTTTCGGTGAGCCCTCCTCGACTAGCGAGCGCGTTTGCGGATTCGTTTCGCCAGTCGGCTGTACACCACAATATCGTGCAGAAATTGGATGCACCGTGGAGTAATGAGAGACTTCGTGACGCCGAGCACCATTTGGTGAAGATGCCTGAATTTCGACAGTCGTTTTGGGCCGGAACGCTTACTGTGACGCGTCGGCAGATGCTTCTAGTGCTCCGTAACACGGCGTTTATGCGAGTTCGGGCGTTGATGGTCGTGGTCATGGGACTGATTTACGGCAGCACCTTCTTCGGGTTTGACCCCACCAACGCACAAGTATCACTGGGTGTCTTGTACCAGACAACGATGTTCTTGGCAATGGGCCAAGCGTCACAAACGCCAGTGTTTATCGCCGCTCGTGAGATTTACTACAAACAGCGCCGAGCGAACTTCTATCGCACATCGTCGTTTGCAATCGCGTGTCTGACGGCACTCGTGCCCTATGCAATCTTGGAGTGTCTTGTCTTCAGCTCCTTCGTGTACAAGATGTGTGGCTTCGTGTCGGGAGTGGACTACTTCCTCTTCTTCCTGCTTTGTATGGTTCTGACCAACCTCGCACTATGTGCGTGGTTCTTCGCATTGACTGCGATGGCGCCCGACTTCAATATCGCCAAGCCTTGTTCCACGTTCTCCGTCACATTTTACGTCGTTTTCGCTGGTTTCATTGTCCCGCGAAGCCAAATTCCCGATTTCTTTGTGTGGATCTACTGGATCAACCCCCTCGCTTGGTGCTTGCGTGCAGTTGCGGTGGATCAGTACCGTTCGCCCACGTTTGACGTTTGTGTTTATGACGGTGCAGACTACTGTGCGCAGTACGGCATGACCATGGGCGAGTACTCCTTGTCTCTGTACGACGTGCCATCAGATAAGATGTGGGTGTGGACGGGTGTGTTGTTCCTCGTGTTCTCCACGGTCTTCTTCGTGATGACCGGTAGTTATATCCTCGAGCACAAGCGGTACGATATCCCGGTGGCCACAGTGGCGGTTGTTTCAAGCTTTGGTGGCGAGGAGAAGGGCAAGCTTGAAGCTGTCCAAGAAGAAAAAGAACAGACGAATCACCGAGACGGAATTGCGAGTTATGCCATGGTTGCAACGCCACGAAAGGTCTCGGATTCTCCAGTACACAGGGAATCTTCAGATGAGATGGTTGTGGTCGATCTCCACGATGAACAAGCAAGGTTTGTACCGGTCGCGTTGGCATTCAAGGATCTCTGGTACTCCGTGCCTGTGCCCCAGCGCAGGAACGAGTCTATGGACTTACTTAAAGGTATCAGTGGTTATGCGCTTCCTGGCACGATGACAGCGTTAATGGGATCGTCAGGTGCCGGCAAGACAACACTTATGGACGTGATCGCTGGCCGGAAGACAGGAGGTACAATCAAGGGTGAAATCATGTTGAACGGATACCCCGCTACCGAGTTGGCAATCCGTCGCTGCACCGGTTATTGCGAGCAGCAAGACGTTCACTCAGAAGGAGCCACGATCCGAGAAGCACTCACTTTTAGTGCCTTCTTGCGTCAAGACAGCAGTGTGTCGGAGCGAGCAAAGCTCGCGTCTGTCGAAGAATGTCTGGATCTCCTCGACATGCATGCCATCGCTGACCAGATTATCCGTGGACGTTCTCAAGAACAAATGAAGCGCCTGACCATAGGCGTGGAACTCGCCGCGCAACCCAGTGTGCTATTCCTCGACGAACCAACCAGCGGACTGGACGCTCACTCGGCCAAGGTTATCATGGACGGCGTACGAAAGGTGGCCGACAGCGGACGGACCGTGGTGTGCACGATCCATCAGCCTTCGTCCGACGTTTTCTCCTTGTTCGACAATTTGCTGCTACTGAAACGTGGTGGTGAGATGGTCTTCTTCGGCGAATTGAACAACGCGCAGCCGGACGATCGTGAATGCGGGCACTTAATCGACTACTTTGAGGCAATTCCAGAAGTTTCACGCTTACCCGACGGTCAGAACCCGGCGACGTGGATGCTGGAGTGTATCGGTGCAGGCGTTGCTGGCGCGGGCGAAAAACTCATGACGAACGCTGCTGCGGCCTTGGACTTTGCCACGCATTTCCGTAAGAGTGCTGAGCACCAAGCGTTGTTGACTGGATTAAAGCAGCCTGGTGTCTCGACCCCCGCACCCGATCACCTACCGGAATTGATATTCAAGAACAAACGTGCTGCTGGTCATTGGACCCAGCTGCGCATGCTGGTGGGGCGGTTCATGACAATCTACTGGCGCACACCGTCGTACAATTTGACTCGATTCTTGATCGCCTTTGGTCTGGCTGTGATCTTTGGCCTAGTTCTTGTGAATGGCCGCTATACGACGTACCAAGGTCTTAATTCTGCGGTGGGTATTATCTTCATGACGGCGCTTTACCAGGGCTACATCACGTACGTCGGTTGTTTGCCGTTTACCTTGCGTGAGCGTGCATCCTACTACCGCGAACGAGACTCCCAGGCGTACAACGCGCTTTGGTATTTCGTTGGAGCTACGGTGGCCGAGATCCCCTACGTGTTTGGCAGCGGCCTCATCTTCACGGTTGTTTTCTTCCCATTGATGGGCATCGGATCGTTCACAACGGCCGTGCTGTACTGGATCAACGTGTCACTCTTCGTGCTGCTGCAGACGTACTTGGCTCAGCTGTTCATTTACGCGATGCCGAGTGTGGAAGTGGCTGCTATCGTGGGTGTTTTGATCAACGCCATCTTCTTGCTATTCGCCGGCTTCAACCCTCCCGCCGGCTCCATCCCTGAGGGCTACAAGTGGCTGTACCACATCACTCCACAACGCTACGCATTGTCCATCCTGGTCTCCATTCTGTTTGGCAATTGCCCCGAAGATCCGACATTCGACGAAACTACTCAATCGTACATCAACGTGCGACCGGAACTCGCATGCCAGCCACTGCAGCACACGCCGCTGTCGATCGGCCACACGACGGTGAAAGGCTACATTCAAGATGTGTTCCATATGAGGTACGACGACGTGTGGAGCAACTTCGGCTACGTGTTCATATTCCTAGCTATTTTCCGCTTGCTGTCGCTATTGGCACTCCGCTTCATTAACCACCAGAAACGGTAGATAAATGAGAGTAGAAGCAGCGGCATTCTTAAATAAATTGATCTTACCTTATGAAGGCCTGAAAGAGTGAGTAGAATGACGAGGCTATACAGGTCTCAACCTGTGTGTGAACCAATCGATAAAGGCTGCTGGCCTACGGGTTTCGCGCACACCGAGAAAAGTGCATCTTCTTAGTCGCGCTGACTTGAAAATCACTTAAAACGACATTAAGAGTAGCTCTGCTTACGTCTATGGAATCCCTATGTAGACGGTATACAGTGCAGGATTGCCAGTGCACTACAACCTGCAGTTTGTAGCCCTGCGCAGCAGTACGTGGAGTGCTTCAGTTCCACGAATAAACGCCTGTCGGTGGCTTCCAGATTGCTGAAACGCTCCTTCCCTTGCACGGCATGTCTCGATCGAAAACCAGCAGGTGGGGAAATCAACGGCACCGCTCGCATTCCGCCTTCGTCACTCTCTATCAATGCGGCGGTCGTTCCACTCACAGCCGGGTGTCGGGCCATCCTCGTCCTTCATAGGGACCGACGGCCGCATCCTGCTCACACCTACGCGACCGCAGGATGCCGGTGCGGCGTACGGACAGGTGGCGACGCCGTCGTTCGGCTCGTTCCACCGAGACCAGTCACAGCGCTTCAATGCGTCCGGCCTGCACTCAGCCCACAGTAGCCGACGGAGGCCCACTCATAAACTGTCACTACGGGCGCTGGCGGCACTGCGCATGGCGGCCGAGGTGCTGTTCGCTTCTTGTCTCATGGTGGCCGTCGTGACCCGCGCGAGTCTCGTGTCGCTGTATTATTTATTGGTCTTCTGCTACGGCGTGGTGCATTCTTTCCAGTCGCGGGCCATCACACTATTGACCTTGGCCGTGGCCGCCATGGCCTGTGTGTGCCACGGGGTCATCAAGGGCGTGTACGGAGACGACGCCAGCTACGCCGGGGACGGCGTGGCCAGACTCTTTGGGTTCCAGCCCATGAACAATTCTAAGGAGTATTTACAGGGGATAGGAGTGGACGTGTTGGTCCTGGTTTGCAGTGCCATCCACTACTGGTACGTGTTGAGGAGACTGAACTCACGATCCAAGGAACAGGAAGAAGAGGAACGGACCCAGCAACATTTCGACCTGTTTGAGATGGGAGAGCGACTGATGAACGGCAAAGAGCCGAAACGGGACCGCACGAGGTCCATGCTACGAGCTGTGGAGCTGTTTAGTGCCGTGTTTCTCTTTCTTGCCTCGGTGTCTGTTCCGGCCTTCGCTTCGGGGCTGCTGTACCTGGTGCTGCTGGCTCGGCTGATTGGATACACAGTATTTGTCCGCAGGATGACAATACAGGAACTGCTGTCTCGCAAGTCGGGCGTCAAGTTCTCGAGCTACTTCCTTGGACCAGGAGTCACAAAGCTTGTGTTGGCGCTGTCTCTGGGTATCATTGTAGCCTGGTACTGCTTCCACTTGGACCAATTGGCCGACGACGACACTGCACAAACCATCGCCGACTATCTTGGCTTTGCCAACTTTCGTGCTGGCGGAGTGAGGTGGCAGTATTTCTTCTTTGCTGGCTTTCTATTCTTGCTCTTTGTCAGTTGCGCAAAGCTGCACAACCTGCACAGCGAAGCCAAAGGTGCTGAAGCCAGTGGCACAGCGAGTCTCGCGTCAGGTTTCTCACAGAACGGATCCACAGCCGTCGATCTAGGAGCCGTTAACGCTGACGTGGCTCAGTCGCTGCTGGACCAACGCAACCGAGCACCGACAGCGGATATCAAGGAATTGCTGAGCAAGCAGTCGATTGTGGTGCGCGCCTTTGCGAGGGATGGAGGGCTCTTGTTGGGTAGTGCAGCGGCGATCGTGTGGTGTGTGTCGTACCCGTCCTATTTGTCTGCTCCGTTCTTGGGACTGGCGTTCGTGACCATCGCACTGTTTGGCGTGCTGTCGTCATCTCTCTTCATGTGGTTATTGATCGCTTACGGTACACTGCTGGCGCTGGCTGAGTACCTCAGCAACCTCACGATAAACTTCTTGTCCGATGACTATACAACGTACGGACTGCGGGCTTTCGACTACCCGTTTCTCGATATCGGAGCGCACACTTTGTGTCTCGTGTTCATGTCCCTGGCCATCCGAACGCAGTGGCGGTATCAGGATGTTCTTCGTGAGTCCCGCAAGCGTCGCAATACGGCGAAGGTTACCGACGTCGAGGAAGGAAACCAGGGCGATGAACACGAGGAGGACAGAGCAAGCTTCGCGAGCTTTGTGCGACTAGCTAAGATGCGAAGCGTAAGTGTCAACCGTGGTCGAGTTCAGGTATCATACGATTTCTAACGCTTTGTTTTGTTTTATACGTGGCGTACAGCAAATTCAACAAGGCTGGCGCTCGGCTGCTCGTCTGTGGCTCGTGGATGCCAAGCGCGTTATCTTCACTCATCTGGATGCGCTGGTTCTGGCCACGATTCTAAGTAAGTAGGATCTTTGAGGGTTTTGTATGCTGACTAATGCTGTGTATGGTTGTACGTGCAGTTGTTGCGTTAAGCACTCATGTGTCGTTCCTCCAGATCGGATATTTAGTCCTCGCAGCCTTATTGATGCTGTTTTTCGAGAAGAGGAGGCGATTCTGGCGCGTGTTACTGCTGTATGCGCTTGGAGCGTGTTTTGCAGTATTTCTTCGGAATATCGATTGTACAGAGAGCTCCGAGATGGAGTTAATTGGTCTGCAGTGCTACCATCCTGGGCTGTACACGTGGGGATCGTTGTGGCCGACATTGTTTAGCGCGCAGCTTTTGATCATCTTCCAACTGGTGTTCCAGCTTGTCATCTACGTGGCCAACAGCGAAGCGATCGAGGAACGCATGAAAACGAAAGGACACGTTCGACAAAATCCCGTCTTGTTCGTCTCTAGACTGGCTGTTGAGGTCGATAATTGGTTCCGGATCTGCGGAGTTGTGCTCTGCTACACGGCCTTTCTCGTGGTGGCAATACAGTTCGAAAGTGGGCCAACTACACTGAGTACAAATATGGTAGGGGCCTTGCAGCTGGCCATGTTTTTGGTCATTTTCGGGAATCATTTGGGTGGATTTCAATCGGCGCCAAGAACATCTTTGCGACTCAAGTTGCTGTGGTCTCTGGCTCTTCTGATCGAAGTATTGATTCTTGTGGCACGATATGTTTACCAGTTCGATGAGGTGGCTACGTACTTGGAGGAGAACTTGTTCACGGCTTCCTTTATCTCGGCTGCTGACCTAGGACTCGAGTATCACGCTTCGAACCGTGGAATTTCGGATGTGTTCGTGTATTTGCTACCTACGGCGATTATGACGGGCTTGTGCTTCTGGCAGCTTTCGTCCATGATGAAGGACGTCGCGCCGTACGATTTATTCACTGCTGGTCGCAGTCGTGCAGCTGATGGCATTCGCTTTATCATGGAGACTGTGCAGCATTTATTGATCTCGTTCAGTGCGACGGCGCTGGTGATTGTGACGATGTGGGTGGCTCTGGACCAGATCAGCTTCCTGGGGCTGCTGTACATCCTCATTCTGGTGGTGGGTCGAGCGTTGAGTGACTCGTGGAAGCAGCTGTGGTTCCCTCTATTCTGGCTCGCATCGCTCTCCATGCTCATGAAATACCTCATTCAGCTGAGTACTTTCAACACCGAACAGGCTGATGCAGGGGTGCTATTTAAGCCTGGCGATGACAGTGACTGGGTGGGCACAATACGCTTGGAAGAACGTTACGAGGACCGCGAGGGAAAACCCAAACTGTGGGATTTATTGTCGGGAGAGTTTTGGATCATTTTGCTGTGTTCTTTCCAGCGAACGGCGCAGTATTTCGACTCGTCCTCGTCAGCACGACGTCAATTGGAGCTGGAGGAATTAACTGCACGATTCGAGGAGCAATACGCGCTGTATGCTGCGAATAATTTGGATTCTTACCACCCGACGTCCTCCTGCGAAGTCGATGACGACGAAGATGACCTCAAGGACCGAGCTCGAGCTTTCACGTACGATGGCGAGGACATGACTCCTGCTCGGTCGAGAAAACCGCAGCAATCCAGTGGAGAGACAGGTAGCAAACGCGAAGATCACTCCCACTTGTCGTCGATCTCGTCGGATGATAAGGATTTCTTTTCGTGTCTCCGCAGCTTCGGCACCACGTATGCCAGCAAGGCATCTGTCAACGTGGTCATGTTATTGCTGACAGTGTCGTGCTTTGTGCACCAAGACATCATTGCGATGATTTATCTTCTGATTGTGTACAGCATGATGTACGCCTATCCTGCAACCGTGTGTAGCCGCTGGTGGGCTTTGGCGTGGTTACTCTCGTTGGTTATTGTGTTGGAGTACTCGGTTATACTGTGGCTGCCTCCGTTTATGGACGTCGAGATGGAAGAAACTTTCCCATGGCGATCAATATCGGACACTTACGAGAAGTGGCTTATGCTGAGTAATCAGCATAAGTGGGGTCTTATGGCAGATTTCGTGGCACTGTTAAGTGTCTACCTCTTACCGGATTCTGACAGATTTACTGAAGAAGAAGAGGTGATTACAGTCGTTGATGAGTCAGCTCCTGCACTCAAAGTCACTAGCGACAATGGGTTCACAGAAGGCGCTGAAGGCACGAGTAGTAGTCCTTATCCTGTGTCGTCCGGGAAGGGCACCTACAGTTTGCTTATGCGGAAGTACGTGTGGTATTATCTGGAGTTTGTATTCCCAGCAAACTGGTTGCCACTGTTGCTTCTACTCGTCTTCGTGTTCGGAGCCAGACAAGGAGGTGCCGTCTCGATCGCCTACTTGTTGGGGTCTCTAGTCATGTTGTATCGACTGGATGAAGCGCGTGAGCCGTCAAACCCGTGGATTCAGTACTTACGGAAGTGGAACTGGGCTCACTTATTCATGATCACCATCGTCAACGCTCCATACGTCTACGCTGCTCTAAGCAACTGCCTCATTGGGAAGAAAACGGAGAACGACGACAGCTGCATGTCTGTGGCCAATTTCCTCGGCGTGGAAGCGAACAAAGTCCCGTACGGACTCATCGCTCTTTTTGTACTCATTTCCATCCAGTGCGAGATCCTCCTTGCGCCAACGTATCAAACGGTGTTTGCGATCTTAGTGGGCGAACAGAACCGTGCATCGATTCGTCGTGAAGAGATTGTGCGTGACTTTTATCGTCGACGGACAGAGCAGTGGTACAAAATGAAGAAGGACAAGAACGCCGCCATTCAACGTCTCAAGATCATCGTATCGAAACTCGTGCACAAAGTCGAAGAGTTGATGGACATCGCACTAGGATTACACCACAATTTGCCTCCGATGGCGCCGTCCAAGCCTGTCGCAGTCGAAAGATCGCAGAACTCAGCCACGATCTCGTGGAAGAAGCCATCGAACAGCTATCACAAGATCCGCTACTACCGGATTTCGAGACAGCAGTTCCCGTCGTTGACGCTGCTCGGAGACTTCGGAGACATCGTGGAGATCTCGGGTGATCGCTGTGAGGCCAGAATCGAGGGTCTTCGTCCTGGAACCAGCTATCAGTTTAAGGTGTGTGCCGTGTCTCGAATGGGTGAAGGTCCGTTTAGTGTCGCTAGTGATCCAATTGCTACGTATCCGCTGAATCTGGATGGGTCGACGACAGCCGGTTGGATGAAATACCGTCGTGAGAAGCTCCCTGCACCTCGCTTAGGGTTCCTCGTATCGTGGATGAAGGCCAAGTATCTGCATCGATATGTGGTCATTGACTCGAGTCACTTGGTGTTCTACCAAGACGAGGAACGAGCGCTAAAGCATCGCACTCGGAAGCACAGGAAACGGCTTAAAACCTCCTTCAAATGGCGTGATGTTATTTCTCTCAGATTGAGCGACTCCAAGGTGCAGTACGACGACATGTCACCATCTCTGTACTGCTTTGAAGTCGTCGTTCGTCACGCAGGAAGCCGTGGGGATGTCAAGTACGTGTTTCAGTCGGAGTTGTCCAAAGAGTTCAACATGTTTCTCTCTGCGCTGGCCTTTGCCGTGCCTGGAGAAGCTCTGGATGAGAGCATCGTCGAGTGTTTGAAGGAGCGGAATCTGCCAAACCCTCTGGATGTTGCGCCACCGTCTCGCAATACAGACGAAGACGCGAACTTCGACGAGAATAAAAGTGAATGGAGCAGTGTGACGGGCGACGAAAGCACGTTAGGAGACCCAGAAGACGAGGAGTTCGACGACAAGAGCGGCTTCACGTGGCGCGTCCCGTTGTACCGACTGCTGTATAAATTGCAGAACGCTGGCTTTAAGCTCGAGACGCCGCAGTACGAAGAGGACGACATGAACGAGCCGTCTATCGCTGAGATTGGGCAGCTGGTTATCAACGGTGTGCGCAGCAAAAGTGCGAGTATCTGCTGCGTGGCGTTGGTGATCTGCTTCACTGTCCAGGTGCGTTAAATGCTGCTAGTGTCGTTATGTCCTGGATTGATTCTCACTTGTGACTGGTAGGCGGATTTACTCAACATGGTGTACGTGCTCGCTGCGTTTGGGTTTCTGATCGTGGAGAACCCTCGTCCGGCACCGACAGTCTGGACCCATTTGCTCGCTTATGTACGTGCTAGAAATCAAGTTGTTGTGCTGCTAGTTACTAACTCGTAGCTGCTCTACTTTTTACAGACGTGCTGCATCCTTGCGTTGCGCTACGTGTTCCAGCTGTCGATATTCTGCACTGGAATGACAAACCGCGGCTACTTCTATCCGAGCTTCGAGCCGTATTGCACGACAGCGACTGCAGCAGCAACCAACGCGAAATCGATCCAGCCCATGGTGCTGTTCGGGCTGTACAAGTTCGACGGTGTTGCTATTGACGACACCACGTCGGTGTATGATGGTCTCCAGTGGGACTTTTACGTCATGTTGTTCCTCCTGTGGCACGAACGAGAACTGCGCCTCCAAGGCTTCTGGGCTGAAGCGCAGAGTGGGGATATCGACCAGGCCTCGTCTCGGTACAAGTCGGAAGTGATGCGAGGGCTGCGGACGTCGTTCTCCTCCTCTCACGACTCGATCGACGACGCGCTCCTTTACGACGCCCCTGTCCCTGGGAAGAAGCTAGGGGCTGGTCCTTCGTTTACATCTCAACGCAGTAGTCGACACTTGCCGACGATAGACCGAGCTCCGACCAACGGCAGTGTGCTATGTATGGACAACGCAGACATTGTCAACGAAGTGGCAGCTCAGGTATTGCAAGAAATGAAGGAACAAGAGCGGCTAGAAGCGGACAAGAAGGCGGCGGGGGCAGCGATGGCTGCCAATTCGGACGACAATGTGGCGCATTCTCCGTCGTCTCGACGGTCGCTCGAGCACGAAGCGTCTACCGGTAACTTATCGCCTACTTCTCCCAAGGCAGCAAGAGAACACGTCGTCTCGAAGCAAGAGGATATGGACGCAGACCAGTCCGAGATCAGCTTTCACGCACGTGCTAAACAGTCCTGGCTCGAGAAGAAATATCCCAAAGCTCACGCGTATTTCCAGTCTGTCATTTGCAAGCCACCAGCTCAGTGGGACAAAGACATCCAAGTGGCCATCACCGGAGAGAAACCCGGTCGGGATTTCTACACGGCGTCGCTCTCTGTGCTTCTGTTCTCGTCCGTGTACGCTGTGATCTTCTACGAAAAACTGGGTGAGGCTGACTCCAGCAGTACGTCCGTGGCCGATGCAAACAGTCGAGTGTCGTCTTCGTCTCTGTTGTCCGGTTACTTGGTGCTATTGGTGTTGATTGAGCTGATCTTCATCATCTGGGATCGCGTGGCATACGTCACTGCATCGCTTCAGTCCAAAGTGATACTGCAGTACTCGTACATACTGGTGCTGCACATGACGGTGTGGTATTTCCTCCCTAGCAACACCAACATTTACTTCCAGCAACGACCTGCATTGGTAGCCTTCTACCTGTTCCAGTGTGTCTATCTCTGGCTAGGAGCGCTGCAGATTCGCTACGGGTATCCGGCATATCTTGGCAGTCGCTACAACTACACGGAGGAGACGAAAGTGACAGCAGTGAGCGAGATGCTGTTTGGACTGATGATGCAGGCGCCGTTCCTGTTCGAGATGCGTGCGTTGCTGGACTATATGTGCACGACGACGTCGCTGAGTTGGCAGCACTGGGTGCTCTTGGAAGACACAGCGGCGCATTTATTCGGCGTCAAAGGCGACATGAAAGGACGAGTTGAGAATGCAGAGATCCTCCAAGGCAAGAAGCGACAGCCGATGACGACGAAGCTCACGTCTGCCGGTGTAATGTTGCTGTTCCTGCTCATCTGTCTGGTCGGTCCCTTGGCCATGTTCAGCTCTATCAACCCCAGTACAACCGCCAACGATGTGACCCTGACGACCGTCGCGTTCGGTATCGTGGACGAGCAGGAGACGATGAATCAATTGTACTCAAACAGCGACAGCAACAGCCCGTCGTGCAAAGTGGACATGAACACGGAGAGTGCGTCGGTACAATGTGTTGAGTTCGATGTGTTCTCTTACGACGTGTGGGAATTGTCACCGCCGCGTATGGATCTGCTAGTGACACAATTGCAGTCGACCCAGGCGCTAAACTGGACCATCTCGTTCACTTTTACACGACCAGGACCTACAGACGACGAGGTGATCTCGGCCAAATACTCGATCAGAATGAAGGACGAACAGCGGAACGCGTTGATTCCGATGATCAAGCAGACTGTGACGGACGACGATACTTCGACGTTACCCTCTATCCAAATAGACGGTCTGTTCCCTACAGTTGTGCAGCTGACGGCTAGTAGTGGGGTACTACAGCGCTCTACCCAGATGCGATCAGTGGCGATCACAAAGCACGCCTCGGATGGGTCGACGTGGTGGACTATTGAGCCTGTTGTGAGCTCATCTGGCTCAAACTACTGCTCCTCTTCGTACCCGTTCTGCATCGTTGCCGTGTCGGATAGAATCGTGCAAGGTCTGACAACGCTGGGCATCAGCTCGTACGGACTCACTGCTGTGTACATTTTCGTCGTGGTGACAGTGGGCAGCGCCGTCAAGGGATTCTTCCGAGGTAAACTGTACCAAATCCAGTACGAAGAGCTCCCGGATCCTGAGGACGTACTGGAACTTGTGGAAGGGATCTACATTGCCAGACACGAACATTACGTGGGGCATCTCAAGGACGAAGTACGCATTTTCGAAACGCTTGTACGCGTGCTGCGGTCGCCTGAGACGCTGATTAAGGTCACAGGCACGAACGTCATCCACATCCCAACTGCGAAGGAAAAGCTAGACTAGATTGGTGTCGGTATCGAGATAGTTAAATCCTAGAGACTAGAGCTGTCATGTTTATGAATGCCACTCGGCACATTTTTGACTGAGCCATGGTGAGCTCACCATTGTGCATGTTCGTCCGCCAAGAGTTCGGCACCACCACTGGCCAACTTTCCGTCTATAACAGCGTCAAAACTTCGACCAAAACTTCGACCAAAACTGCACCGCTTCAGCGTACTCAACCGAATGGACTCCCGTGTCCTAACCGGGTGCATAGGTGGCATCAGAACGTGGAATGGAGTGCTCACCGGATCAGAGCGAAGCAGCTCTGACTACTGTCGAAGCACTCTACAGAAACTACCCCGATGTCATTGTAGAACAACTCGGACTGCAGAATTGTCTGGATACCGTGATCGGCAATGAGTTGAAGCGTGGTGTATCAGGTGGCGAGCGTCGTCGTGTGACGACTGGCGAGATGGAGTTCGGTATAAAGTACGCCACGTTCATCAGCACGGGTTTCGACAGTGCCGGAAGTGTTCCGAGCTGTTCGACAACATCTTGCCATTGAATGACGACGAGGTGATGTAGAGCACTTTTGAGAGCCTAGATTTCATGTGTCCATCTGACAGTTATGTGGACTGTGCACGGACTAGCATTCAGCTTACCAAGAAAGCTAAAAAACCCACCAGACTCAACACGAGCTAGTGAACAACCAATGGTGCAGTGCTGTTAAACGGCTACCGAGCTGGCTATCCATCGCTGCACCGATTATTGCGAGCAGCAAGACGTTTACTTTGAAAAAGCCACGATCCGTGAAGCAGTCACTTTTAGTGCCTTCCTAGTTGTTCATCTGCATGGGTGTGCTCCTATTCTCCAGGTTCTACCCACCATCCCAGATGACGACAAGTGGCTCTACTACAACGCACCACAGCGATTCTCGTTGTCAATCTTCGGTAACTGCCGACGTAAGATGACGCTATACATGTACAGTCATACCGGTACATCGACGTTGGCACAACACTGGGCTGTCAGCCAGTGGAGAACGCGCCATTGTTCGTTGGTCACACGACGACAAAGCGATACGTAGAGGACATCTACCAGATGAGGTACGACGGCATCTAAAGTCACTTCGGCTGCGTCTTTCATCCTCCTCGTTGTCTCGGCTCACACTTCGATGCACTAGCCATCAAAAGAGAGAAACCAAATAAAACACACTCAAAACCACCCATGTGTACGCGCCACAACGTCGATCTAACTGCATGGCGCTGAGCCATTTCATAAATATTTGGACATGTAAGGTCCATCGATCTCATAGCCCAGTTTGCGGTAGTAGTTGCGAGTGCCGACGCCAGCGATAACCACGAGTTTGTGCGACCCATGCTCTTCGTATGCGATGCGTTCTGCTTCTTCCATTAGCAACGTACCGAAGCCTTGATGTTGAAATTTGGTCGGGTCACGCGCGTGAAGAGGAACCGACGACCCGTACACATGCAGCTCACGTACGATGGAGCACCCCGGAGTAATTTCATCACGGAACGACGCCACACTCGCCTGACGAAGACGCAGTAAGCCGATGAGAATGTTCTGCTGAGGATCTTCGTACGAGAGGAACGTTTCCCAACCACCATTGGCCACATAGTCACGACGCACAAGCTCCACTTGGTCCGGTACACTTTGGTCATGGATGCCCTTGATGCCAACCTCGCGGGTACGCACATCGTTGCAAACAAGTCCAAGGTCTCGCATTCGTGCTAAGGCCAGTTCTCTCAAATTGCCATGCTCAACACCTGACGTCACGAGCGGCATGGGAATGTCTCGTTGGACACGGTACACGCGAGTCCATGGCGGCACCAGAGCGAGCAATCGGGCCATCAGGTCCACCAGGTCTTCAGGCGAGTAGTTCTTGTATGTCCCAGTCTTCCACAGCTCGTACAGTCCCGTTCCACGAATCACAAGTGTCGGATACAACTTGATACCATCACTACGGAAGCGCGGATTCTCAAAGAACTCTCGGAACCCTGCAAGGTCGCGCTCCATGCCCATATTCGGCAGATCCGGCATCAAGTGAGCTACGATCTTAAATCCGCAGTCCTTGGCCAGCTGGAAACAATGCGAGACGGCAGCCACGGTATGACCACGGTTCGTATCGCGCGCCACGTCTTCGTACACGCTCTGGACCCCAATCTCAATGCGTGTACAGCCGTAACGCAGCATGTCGTGCAGGTGCGGCTTGAGACAATAGTCGGGCCTCGTCTCGATCGTAATCGCTGTGCACTTGGTCGAACTCTGCTCCGAGTACCTCACCGCTTCGTCCACACTCGTTGACGAGTGTCCAGACAGAGCATCGTGCAAGCTCCGGATGAAATAATCCCGGTACCGAGAGTCCAGCGACAAGAAGGTGCCTCCCATGACGATAAACTCCACTTTATCTACCGAGTGGCCCAGCCTCTTCAGTTGGGCCACACGGTGTCGCGTTTGCAGAGCGGGATCGTAGCGAGCACGGATAGCTCGCATGCTGGTGGGCTCGTAGCCTGTGTAAGACTGCGTAGAGTACTCAAAGTCCGAGTCGGGCCCCCCCGGACAGTAGACACAGATATTACCGGTCATTGCAATGTGTGGGCATCGATGGGGCTTGCACATTACGGCCTACAGGGACAAGATACAACAATAAGGTCTCTGATCTCTTGTTTTGAAAGCTCCAGCTGAAACAAAACTATTTTTTTTTAACTGAGTATGAGTGCACGTACAACGACAGCAATACCAGACGCGGTGCGCACGGGTTTAGCCTTGAGAAACGGCAGGAGTTTCTCCTTGTAGTCCTCTGGCACGGCAGAGATAATGTCCACAAGTTTGGGCATCGACGGGAGGCGGAACTGCTTAGCCACGTCGTTCTTTAAGCGCGTCATGTTGACAGGCTCTTGATCCTCGTAGGCTGCGATGAGTGCGTCTACGATGCCAGCAATGGCCAGCACGTAGCCGCTCGCGTTGGTGTCACCTGGCATTGCGGATATGGCTCCAACCAGATGATGATTGTGAAGAATAGGAGTCAGATAATAGTATAAGAAAATACTTATAGCTGTATTTCTTAATACAAGAGAAATGTACTAAATAGCACAGTTTTTTTATTATCGTTAACGAAGAACAGTTATGACTACTACGTAGTAATTAATGCTGCTACTTGTTTTATCTTTTAAATTAAACCCCCTATTATAAAAGTTTCGTACTGTAGTAGATCTAGCTTCCAAATTTAAGCCAAGGATTCCCAAATTTAATAATACAAAGTACTACGAAGAAATCCAAAAAAAATACAATAGGGGGTTTCAAAGTTGTCATTAATTAGGATTTTTTTTGGCGGAGATGAGCCTCATTTTTCCAGCTGATATTTTGAGTTCTCATTTTTAGGGGTACGCCGCTAAATGTATAACCTGGTTACTTTCGAATCGAGCAGTTTCGCCGACCACTACTGCGCCAACTCCAGCACACTCTTCAAGCGTCGATACCCCTCAGAGAACTGGCGCAGCTACCGGAAGCGCGAAAGCAAACCAAGCGCGGAAACGTGATTTTGCAACAACGTTTCGAGAATTTAGCGAGAAAAGACTGCATGCTGAATCTAGCTGGCGCCGTGAAGAACTCAAGGAGGCCCGGGCCAGCCGTCTCGCTGCCGAAGCCCGCGCCATCAGAGAGCAGGAAGAGAGACGGGATGAGCGCCAGCTTCGGTTCAGGGATTATAAAAGTTTCGTACTGTAGTAAATCTAGCTTCCAAATCTAAGCCAAGGATTCCCAAATTTAATAAGACAAAGTACTACGAAGAAATCATTAAAAAAAAAACAATCGAAATTAAGATACCGACACGATCTGTACATTAGTATTTCGTAAGCCTAAACATGTATCGATTACCACATTGCGGTATACTGTACTGTACTACCGGTAGCCCCGACTAGAAGCAAGGAAATAGTAGTATATTTTACTAGGTGTTTCATTGACTTAGACTACCGAATACGTAGGCACCAGCTAGTACCGGAATTCCGGGTACGGACCGTGCGAGCGCGGGGGTGGTGGTAGCCGACCATGCCTTCGTAGGCGATGCCACCGACGGCACCACCAAGAATCGGAGCCACGAGCGGAATCCAGAAGTAGTAGTGGTTGAGTGAGAACACGCGCGAGCCGAAGCCGACGGTCCACATCAGAAGGCGCGGGCCCAGGTCGCGAGCGGCATTAATGGCTAGGCCCGTGTTCATGCCGAATGCCATGGCGATGGCGCTGGCGAGTACACCGATGGCGGCAGGAACTGCTTGACGACCAATGGGACGGTTATGCTGGTCTTGCACCGCTAGGAAGCCTACAACCAGAACCGCCGCCGCGAAAAACTCGGTCAGGAAGCACGTGAAGTTGCCCACGTTTGCGAGCGGGTACGTGGCGAAGATGGCGTTGGTGGAAGTACGCTCGGGGTCTACGATGCTGAGCATGGGGCGGTACAGGATGTATACGACCAGTGCGGCGATGTAGGAGGCAAGGAGCTGTGCGAGGAGGTAGAACGGTACTTTTTTCCAAGGCAGCATGCCGAGTGCCGCGACTGCCACGGTCACTGTGGGGTTCAAGTGGCCGCCGGAGACGCCGCCGGCCACGGTGATGCCGAGGAAATCGGCAATGCCCCACGTCAGTGCCACGGTGATGAGGTTCCGGCAGTGCCCGAGCTGAGCGTGATTTGCGCCGTTGCGCCCAGTCCGAAGCTGACCATGATGAAGGTGGCGAAGAACTCAGCCATCAGTTGTCTGGTGAACAGACTCTTGACTTGGAGCGGGACGTTAGCAGTGACGTTGTTGATGGAGCCTACGTCCGTGTCATGGGCGTCCAGGTTGACATAGGCGTCGCCGTTTTTGTCGTTGTAGGCGTCAGCTGACATGGTGAGCGCGTAGTGAATGGCTGTGCTGTTGGTTCAGTGAGCTCTCGGGCTTTCTGCGGAGGAAATTGTGAAGTGAGTGTGGTGGGGCAGTTGGCACTTGCAAAGCCAAAAGCGGCGGGTACATGTATTGCTGTCGCGATCTGGAGCGTCACTGCTTCCTCCTGTGGCTCTGGCCCAGAGTCTGGCTCAGAGTCTGGATGTAGCTTCGTGGCGGTTGCATCGGCACGCAGCACAGGCGAGCATATCGAGCAAAGCAAGCTAAGATCATTGGAATCGCAAGCGCTAAAGGCCTATCCATCGGTGGATGCGTTGAAGTTGTATTTTATGTCACCAACAAGCGATATATTGTTGGACAACAGAACACAATTTTAATACACTACCTGTTATAAAAGCATGTAGCCATTAATACCGGTGCCAAACTGGACCCCAGCAAATGATGTACGAGCGCTTCAAGCTCTTCACTCTCTGCATTTTCTTAGGTGTCGTAGAAAATGCGGACATGCTTCAGTAATGTAAACGTTGGTGATTGCTTTTTTAAATGCTGGTTGATGGCAAGAGCTCTGGTCGAGACGCAAATCTGCCCGATAGAAGCTTACGCCACTGTACCAGTACGGTGCTCAGCACCGTGCGTGTGCGCTTGCGAGTTTTGTTGCGTGTCTTGCCGCGGACGAACTTCGCCCAAAAAGAAATACGTGAAGCGGTACAAATGCACTTTCAAAAAGTGAACAATTCAAGCCCTTACAACCTATTATAGCGTCGTCATCAGGCGCCGAGTAGAAGCTGGTATGTGTTCATAGTGCGACCCGGTCATCATTTAGGCACTGTACCAATGGCACGTCGATGGACATGGGAAACTCCATTGCTGCGTGGCAATGCGTTTGTAAAAGCCGAGTTTGGACTCCGAGACTCTGGGTACGTGCCCTTAGCGAATGTCTCGATCTACAGTATGCTTACTCGAGCATGAAACTCGGTCAATTTTTGCTGACCTTTTGAGGGATATTTCCCACTGCACTAGGCTGCCATGCGTTGTCCCAATACTCCACACTAATGATCCTACTTCACCACCGAAATATAATCAGTTGCGCCTCGTCTCTTTGAAAAACACTGTACAGTACATGTACATCAACGGCTGTACCGGTAGACACGCAGCGAAGTGCCCGCTGGAATAAAAAGCTTTAGCCTCCGGGCGTCCACGATTTCATCATGGAGCTGCTGGCAGCGTCGCATCCAGCAGCCAACTGCCTTAACTCTACTGACGTCGACTCTTGCTTCGAGCTATATGTACCGTGACATTGCACTTTTGAAAAAGTAAGTGCATTGCTTCAGCTACATAAAATACAACTTCAACGCATCCACCGATGGATAGGCCTTTAGCGCTTGCGATTCCAATGATCTTAGCTTGCTTTGCTCGATATGCTCGCTTGTGTTGCGTGCCGATGCGACCGCCACGAAGCTACATCCAGACTCTGAGCCAGACTCTGGGCCAGAGCCACAGGAGGAAGCAGTGACGCTCCAGATCGCGACAGCAATACATGTACCGCCGCTTTTGGCTTTGCAAGTGCCAACTGCCCCACCACACTCACTTCACAATTTCCTCCGCAGAAAGCCCGAGAGCTCACTGAACCAACAGCACAGCCATTCACTACGCGCTCACCATGTCAGCTGACGCCTACAACGACAAAAACGGCGACGCCTATGTCAACCTGGACGCCCATGACACGGACGTAGGCTCCATCAACAACGTCACTGCTAACGTCCCGCTCCAAGTCAAGAGTCTGTTCACCAGACAGCTGATGGCTGAGTTCTTCGCCACCTTCATCATGGTCAGCTTCGGACTGGGCGCAACGGCGCAAATCACGCTCAGCTCGGGCACTGCCGGAACCTTCATCACCGTGGCACTGACGTGGGGCATTGCCTATTTCCTCGGCATCACCGTGGCCGGCGGCGTCTCCGGCGGCCACTTGAACCCCACAGTGACCGTGGCAGTTGCGGCACTCGGCATGCTGCCTTGGAAAAAAGTACCGTTCTACCTCCTCGCACAGCTCCTTGCCTCCTACATCGCCGCACTGGTCGTATACATCCTGTACCGCCCCATGCTCAGCATCGTAGACCCCGAGCGTACTTCCACCAACGCCATCTTCGCCACGTACCCGCTCGCAAACGTGGGCAACTTCACGTGCTTCCTGACCGAGTTTTTCGCGGCGGCGGTTCTGGTTGTAGGCTTCCTAGCGGTGCAAGACCAGCATAACCGTCCCATTGGTCGTCAAGCAGTTCCTGCCGCCATCGGTGTACTCGTCAGCGCCATCGCCATGGCATTCGGCATGAACACGGGCCTAGCCATTAATGCCGCTCGCGACCTGGGCCCGCGCCTTCTGATGTGGACCGTCGGCTTCGGCTCGCGCGTGTTCTCACTCAACCACTACTACTTCTGGATTCCGCTCGTGGCTCCGATTCTTGGTGGTGCCGTCGGTGGCATCGCCTACGAAGGCATGGTCGGCTACCACCACCCCACGCGCTCGCACGGTCCGTACCCGGAATTCCGGTACTAAGTTAGCTGTCTTCTTTACGTGCCTGGGTTTTCGGTAGTTCAAGGCAGCAGTTAAAAACATACTTCGTACTACGCAGTACTGTAGTAGTGTTTTCTTGGTAAAGTGAGATGGAATCCCTACCTCTTTGAATGAACTTACCGGTTGCGTACCAGCTTCCGGTTCAGCGACGGCTCTTACAAATGACCTAGGTTTATATTTTTTAGTTAAGGCAAGGAAGGGCTCGCCAAAGCAATCAATAACAGTTGGACACACACCGTGGTTTGTAATCATTTATGCTGCGTTTCTGTAGATCCGAATAAAGCGTCGACCATCAGCCGTAACGAGTCGTTGCCAACGACTCCTGCAAGCTTTACTTCTTTTTCTTAGTTTCGTTGGTGCTTCCACGTTCCGGCAATAATTCTCGGTTCAAACTCTGCAGTTCTTCCACCGTTTCCTTCACGCAAAAACATTGTTGTTAGACTTCCGCGGGAAATGTTTGCTACCTTCGCACAAACATGCAAGCTCACCATATTCTTTTCCAGCATGTGGACGAGAACGCGTTGGTGGTGTTTCTCCAGGTCCACGTAAAACACCTTCTTAATGGAAACCATGGTGAAAACGAGAATCGGGAAGAACCGGTGACCCCACAGCAGAAACTCGCGCGGTGTTGTGAACGGGGAGATTTCTTTGATCACCGGGTCGTAGCGGGTCAACCGGACAGTGATTTCAAGAGCCATTAGCTACATGTCAATTCAAGGTACGCAAGTTAGAGCTCCACCATGGCAATGAGCTGATGCACGCACATACAGCAACAAGAGCCACAAACGAGAATTTGCTGGCCGCCTGCGTCGCCTTGGGTGTCGTGACGGCGTAACTGCTCGGACAAGGCAAAGAAAAAACGTGCTGGAGGTCAGGTTCCACAAGATATGGCTTTCCAACGCCTGTCGAGTAGCGTGTGCACCCCCGACACTGCTCTCACGTACATGATGGCGATCCACAGACAATAGAAAAGTCCGACGTTTACTTGTGTTTCGTACAGTGACATCTCCTCGTGGCCAGGCCCCCAGAAGTCGTACAGATAGCGCGATTTCTCGCTGTAGATGTTCTGGTTTGCGGCAACCCGCAGCAACAAAGACACAGTGTTAACCTTAGATTACGCTCCGGAGCCCTCGAAGCTTGGACAAAAAAAAGATTATCGGCTGCGAGCCAACGTACGTCATAGGCAGAGTCAAGCGTTCGCCAGGCCTCAGGCGACATCGTACCTGCCTGGTAGTGCTTCCTGAAGAAGGCATACTTCTGAGCCCACTGGTACATTGTCTCCACACGACTCATCTGAAAGCGACAATTGCAGTCACAGGGTAGCAATTAAGTACCCATTCGTGACAAGTATCACTGTGTGAAAGTACTGGCATTGAACGTACCGACAGCAGCTTGTAAACGTTCTTCTCTTCGGGCCAGTACCACTACAATAGTCGTCAATAATGGCATGTAAGCGTATCAACCAGTGAGTTTAAAATAATTGAGTAAAGTAATGCTCGAACCATGGGCAAGCACACAGCGAGTGTAGGCACAGCCAGCGACACGATGTAAACCTGCAAGGGTGACGTCTTCTTGCCACGGTACAGCAGCAAAGTAGACGCCAGCGCAGTCAGCGGTGCAATAACTAGAAGCGCGTAGGCGGAAGCATGCGAGTCGCGCAGCGCGTCCGGGTACAGCCTAAAGAGCTCTGGTGTCGCGGCGGCCATCAGCAACGATGATAATGCGAAATGATGGGCATCGTGCGCCACGTACCGGGCATAATATGTATACATGTATTAATACATGTATTATACGTACGCTAATGATATGTGGCATACACGAGGTGATGCACCGTCATTCTTAGTGCAACATGAACCTCAGCAGTTGAAGCAACTTTATTTTAAAGGGGGAGTGGGCAGCTCATTTCCGTTGCGAAGGACGAGCGAGCATCATGGCCGAGCCTAAGCAACGCACCGTGACGGGCGTATTCTTCTACGTGCCCAACCTCATCGGCTACACGCGTGTCGTACTGTCGCTTTACAGTTTGGCGGTGGCACTGACGGACTACAAGACCAGCGTGTTGTGTTACGCCCTGAGCTTTACTTGCGACTACTTCGACGGCTTCTTCGCGCGCCTCTGCGACCAATGTACGATGGATCTAACTATTTGGTAGAACATAGAATGATTCGTCTCTTGACTCGCATCGTATTGCTCTAGGCTCGACGTTCGGCGCTGTGCTGGACATGGTGACGGATCGCTGTTCGACCGCTGGGCTGCTCGTGGTGCTGTCGCACCTGTACCCGCAGTACATGATAGTGTTTATGTATCTGCTGATCCTCGACTTCTCTAGCCACTGGTATCACATGTATTCGAGTCGCGGCCACCACAAAGTGGTAGCGGCCGAGCGCAACTTCCTACTTCGATTTTACTACGGCTGCTATCCGTTCTTCGGCTTCTGCTGCGTGGGTGCCGAGCTGTTCTACATTCTTCTCTACGTGCTTCACTTCGACCCCACACTGCTGATTCCATTCATCAACGTCCCCGTCATGCAGGTGCGCTGCTGCTCTTACGTTGTTGTTTGTTGCAAGCTCGCTGACTCTGCTTTTGTTCGTCTTGTTGTGTGTCAATCGCTTTAGCTGTGCTACTACGTGTGCCTGCCCGCCTGCGTGTGCAAGAACATCACGAACGTGGCGCAGCTGTGCAGTGCCGCACATTCAGTTGCGTCTGAGGACGTGGCGCTCGCCAACAAGGCCAAGTAGGGAGCTGACATCCATAAGCAGTAGAGAACCAAGCGGAGCAGAAGTTTGCGCACGAGTAGTCAAGTCGTCTTTGCCCCATGAGTGTATGCAGCAGGTAGGAGGAAGTCTGTAAGTAAGAGAAATATGAGGCAAATATGCAAAAAAAACATCAAAGATATCGCGAAATTCTCAGCTATTCCTTCCGCTCTGGTTCATACTCGCGCGGATACAAGATATCATAATGTCCCGGTCTATACAGCAGCGTGATCGATACCGGTTCTTGCTGCTTGGTCGCCTCCCTTGTGGGTGAGCACACGTAGCTCTGCAGATCCTCGCCGGGTCCGGCACTTCCATCTAGATACTCGATCTTTACGCCGACTTGGAGCGCCTCCGTCAATGCCGCAATCTGCGGCTGGTCGCACTCCTTCCCCATGGGCTCCACCTGACAAGCAGCAACTCGTCAGCCTCTTCCCTACTCGATAGCACAGTAATCGAAACACAGTCATCTCACCTCTGCAGCACAGAACTGTGCCACCGTTTGACCTGGATACAGGCCGTCAATAAATGGCTGGAAGGTCTCTGCGTTCTTCTTCATGTAGCCAGCAGTGAGTAGTCTCATGTACCAGACCAGGTACTCAGACTCTCCTCCTTCTGTCTGAAAATCCTGTACCAGCTCCGCGTGGGAGCGTGTCTCCATGGCTGCCAAATAGTCCACGAACGTCTCCCAAAAGGCGTCGATGGCTACGTCGCTATATCCGATAGCGACCAGCTCACTTTTGCTCGTTTGAATTTTCTCCTGGATGCGACTACGTAGCGCCGCATTGGTGTCCTCGCCTCCAGCGCCTCCAGACGAAAGCAGCCGCTCACACAGCGCGAAAATGAACCCCCGAAAGAAGCAGTTGCCGTCTCCGCGCACGCGACGAAGTGCCTCGTAACGCGCGTTCAGCGACTCGATGCCGTGCATGAAGTTAACGTTCGCATTCCCCACGTACTCGGCCTTGAGGCACAGAACCGACATGCGGTCTGACAGCAGCGGGCCCACCGGCCAATCCGGTTCCGTCGGTTCAGGCTCAGTGTCCATGCTAAACTGATACTCTACGGTATCTCCCGACGCGTCTTTCGATCGAAACCCTAGGTCTGAAGGTATTGGACAAAGCAGTTGCGAAATACTTGAGGTATTTAATTTTGTATCTCTATAGATAAATCCTATAGTAAAATACCTCTAGCAACCAATTCTTTTCGCCAACTCACCAGTCTCTGATCGACAGCGAGCACTCGCAGGCGCCCCCCCCGTAGAGATTGTTTCGAAGCGTCTAAACGGACGAGTACACGCGTGATGATATTGCGAATTCTCAAGAAATTCATCAAGTGGTGACAGACATTATCACAGACCACGCCGCTGCGCGCCCTTCCAACACCGTTAAGCAGTACGCTCCAAAACAAGCCGAGTTTAAAACGTGGTGTGCAGGTAAAAAGTATTTGAATGGCTGTATTGTCACTGAAGGGAAACTAGTTACGTTTTTGAAGACGCACGTTATTCCTCGTGGTAACAAGCGCCAGAAAACCAAAGCTGGTGATGCTAAAGCTCTCAGTTTAGCTGGCGTTGAAGCTTATGCCAAAGCTGTCATAGATCTGTACAAGTTGCAGCAGGCTCTACTTCTAAATAGCCATCCACATCCACGTGGGAAGACCTATCACGACCTTTTCGACACGCTGAAGCGGCCGGAAACTGAGCGCAAGCGAAAAAAGTACGCAGATCGAGCGCTGGGTACCGTTCTTGATGGATATAATGTCGAAGACATGGTTCAACTCACTGACTATTGGTTGTCTCAAAACGACGGTGTTTCTTTGCGTGATCGTGTGGATTTCTGTTTTGGGGCATGCACTTCTTGCACGGGGCGAGAGTCGCCGCTTTAGTTAATTCCCTGATACGTTGACACTGGGGCTACCGGATGAAGGATCGCAAACATGCACGCCACTTGTGATCATCATGAATCGAGGCAAAACTAATCAGCATGGTCGCATCGAGTACTGGGCAGCCATGCGATGTAAGAACGTGAATGTGTGCCCATTGAATGCTGTAGCGCTCCATCTTTTTTGGCGCTGGCAAATTGATTGTGAGCCATTTCCCGATTTTACATGCCGCGAAAGGTGGTACGATATTCACCTCATTAATGGTGGTGACAGAACGAAGGAGATTTCGTACAACACCCAGTTAAATCGTATCAAGCGAGCTTTCGCAGCGTGCGGGATCGATTCAACCGTTTGGACACATGCTAATCGAGGATCGGGGGCGAAATTGGCGGAAACATTTGGTGCTAGTGAAGAACAAATTCGGCGTCTTGGGAGGTGGAATGCAGCGCGGATGGAAGGATGCTATCTTACATCCCTACCTAAAAAGGCTATGCGAGCCTTGGCTGGATATCCGACAAAGGGTGGCGGCTACTGGCTGCAGCGAGGTTCTGCTACTCCAAGCTCTGAGCTACAACAATTGGTTTACCCTGAGGTTGAGGCCGCAGCTAAACAACTGGCTCAAAGCTCGACGCGTGAAATTGCTGGAGCTGCCTTCATTCAAATGCTCCGTCACATGCGAGTGGTCTTTCTCCAAGACTCTGTGGTGCTGCGGCGGCAGTATCCCAATCATCAATTGCGGAAGCACAGTTTGTTTTCCACTGCAGAGTACGCATCTCTGATCAGGAACTCTATTCGTTGATACCAGCGATTACACAGCCGGAAACAAAATCGCTTGCAGTTGTAGTGCCTCAAATTGCGGACGTGCTGAAGAACGGAATGGAATCTCTACACGGCAAGCTGGATGCACTAGCAGCGGGGATAGATACACTAAAGGCTCTCTCAAACAAACGGCTTGTACTCAGCTGGGAAGACAGCACCTCAGGTCATGATCCGCTGCAGTCAGCAGTAACGCAGCCGCCCTTTACATCATGTGCAATTCCGCGGCCACTTCAACCTCGTAATCCAAAGATGAGCAGATCAATCTCGACGGTTGTGGACTTGTGGAAAGAGTACTCTGTGGGGCTTGCAGGAAACATGTCAATTTCGGAGGCAAATGAGAAGCTCGGGTCTATATGGCGGAAAGACCCGACAGAAGCTCGCTTCTATCTCCGGCGCAGAAAATACTATGATGCCATCGCAGAGACAGCAACTACGCATAACATTTCTCCAAACGAGGCGGCGGAAAAACTTGAGTTGGCGCGGAAGGGTGACAATTTGTCCCTTAACGCATTTAGCAAGAGGCTAGATACCTACACAATTTAGTTGTAATGGTACGTGACTTATACATCGACTGTTCAATCTGTTCTGAACACAAATAAAAAAGATTGACCGGTCAGTTTAATGTGAAAATGGTGCTGTTGATAATAAACTGACTGGCCAATTTATTTAGAGCGTGCTTAAAACAACAGATTAGTCTGTTTTGAACTGATTGACCCGTCAGTCTATTCTAGTAACCGATATATTCAGAGTAGACTGAGGGGTCAGACTATTCTAAATAGTCTGAAAGGTCAGTCTATTCTGCTCATCAATATAGTCAGAATAGACTGACCAGTCAGACTATTTTGAACTTCGACAAGACTAAAACAGACTGACTGGTCTGACTATTCTAAATAAATTGATCGGTCAGTCTATTCTGAATAAACGTATATTAAAATAAATTGACTGGTCAATCTATTCTGCATATTCGTTCAGATTGGTGTGACCACTCATTGTTCTCACTCTCGTTTAGGCAAAATCAATCCCCAAGCAGTGATTCGCGATGGCGCGTACTGAGACTCCCATTCGAGAGCGGATAGCAAAACTTAAAACATGGCGAGATCACTCCGATTGGAGCGCAGGCAAAGCCGCTAAGGAGCTAAATGTGCTGAAGCCGACGCTTCTATCATGAAAGAAAACATATTGGCATAAACTCGATACTTATGAGCCTGGGGACGCCAAGCGCGAAAAGGGAGGCGGGCGTAAGCACAGGATGGAAACGTACGAATGGGCAGTTATTGAGTATTGTGATACCTGCGCTCGCGAAGATGGAAAGGTGAAGAGGGAAGATGTGTTTGACTACTGTAGCAGAATAGAGCAGTTTGCTCTTAAAACAGACAGTGCGCAGAGTTCATGGGTCTCGCGAATCCTAGTACGCTACTACAAGCGAGCTGGTCCAAGTATCCAGCGAAGTACAGAGGATGCGTCTTCCGAGGGAGCTACAAACAATGGAGTCGCTAACGTGGCATCGGTCGAGGCGCCTGTGGGGCCTGTGGGGGATCAGAATGATGCTGGCACTGTAAAGGGTGATGATGACACTATAGAGGGTGACACTGCCGTTGTAGAGGAATGTGGTGTAGCAAGCGGCGGAGGTACTGTAATTCAGGAACGCTATAGTGTGGGGAGGCAGATAATAACCGGAAGTACTGCAGTGGAAACTACCGTGCTGCAGGATGTGACTGCATCGAGCAACAAGACAAACTCTGAGACCAGTATTGACCACATTCAAAAAATTACAATAGCGGAGCTTGACCAAGATGGGGATATCCTCATGGTTTATGGTGGTAATGCGCCTGTCTCATTTGAGAGCAGCTCACGCAGCGCCGAGCAATTCGTCGGCAATTATGAACTTCGGCCGCGGACAGACCAAAATATACCCATGGTGCGGCTCTCTGGCTCTGGCCGCGCAAACCCATCCCTTAACACGTCGGAAGCGCGCTTAGCGGGGGTGGTTGACCCTGCTCCTGTCGCAATTCCCCTATTTGCGGATGATTTGGAGAGCTTATTAATAAAGGAAGGCAACATGGTAGCAAATGCGGCTGCCGACTTTTGCATTGCAGCGTATTTTGAAAAAGATAGGCTTGTGTATTCGGGCACGTCAGCAATTTTTTCGGAGATTAATTTCGCGTATATTGGTCGAATGGCTACAGAACGGAGTGCTGATGAAATAACCCGGCAAGCTAATTGGATTTCGCACACGTACGTGATCCTTCCGGTTGTGATGGGCGACCACTGGAGCTTTGTGGTAGTTGAGCGCCCCCTTTCCAGCGAAAGCACCGTCATATACCACGTGAATTCAGTGCGGGGTGGTCATGAACCCAGACTTTATTTTTGCTGTGATTGAATGGTTTCTAGCTAAGGCCATAGCATCTGATACCAGCGCACTACTGCAACAACCACATACAACTACGTCACGAAGCCTCATCAGGCTAACGTTGTCGACTGTGCAGTGTACGCACTCCACTACATGCATGCCGTAATGAAGTTTATTATCAAGCATCGTCTAGAATCGTTTCTCGAGCACATGCCGTCGCTGACGACGAGCACATTCAACGTAAAGAAGTCTTCGGCTTCGCGAGCCAAAATCCTCTCGACACTAACGAGCTTGCAAGCGCAATAATCATCACGAAGTGAATGTTGTAGTTCTTATGCTTTAATACATGTTCTTGCGTTACATTCTTTCCAGCACGCAAATATTAGAATGGAATGCCCGACACTGTCAATAAGATAGAAAAAATAGGAGAAACACACGTCCATCGCTGGGATAACACACACGAGGCTGGGCGACGTGGGTGCCATAGCCGCGGCGCCAACTAAGGTGAGCGGGTGCGAGGCGGGTCCAGCGCTGAGCTCACCAGCGAGCCGAGCACTACACTTTCCAGAACATTCTATCTCCATATTGCGAGCGCAGCGAACCGCGGGGGCGCCCAGCCAAGCGAAGCGCGGCTGGTCCGTTTTCTGCTGTGACCTCTAATCGTCGATTATGTCTTATTGCGACACTCAGAAGGTCAAAAGTATACAGAAGTCAAGTCAAATGATTTGCTGTGTGCTGAAACAGTAAATACATGTGTTTGGCATGTTCTGTCAAGAAGATATAGCCGTGTCGTGACCTCTCAGTCCGTATATAAGTGGGGTCGCGGGCGTCTGAAATATTACGATTCTTGTATCAGACGCGGTCAGACACCACCTGTGAGATACCCCCTCGGTATTACATCGCCATGACTAATTATTGGAGCATGGAAATTTAGTTTTAAAAAACGCGCCTGTTGGAGGCCATGATTATATACATGGATAAGTACAGGATTCCAATCA